ATATCCAGGCAGATGTAAAGCTCGGCATTAACAGCCAACAGCAATGGGTCTCAAGGTGAAGTCAGTGAATAAACCATCCAAAATGTCATTTAAAAACACTGCACTTCAACAGAGCAAATGTGTTAGAACTAATGGTAGAGAGATTTGCAGACACTTGGCAAATACAGACACCCAGCCATGTGGCAGCTGAGTACAGGTCTTTTCTGCAGAACATTTACTTTCTTTGAAGCCTGAAATGCTGGAGTACAGGCATGAGACTACTTAGAACACAAAATGAGCTTCACATTTTAAACACAATCATTGGAAAAATTCAGTTACTTAGTTCTAAGAAAATAATGTAAATGAGTGAATGTATTAGTCTCCTTTGGATCAAACAGAATTCGTTTTAAATTATTTTGTTATGAAATCCCCCTCTCAGCTTAAGGGGGGTTTGCATAAATAAAGAATTGAGGGCAATTGCCTAGTTTCAGTACTACCTCCAATGTTAAAGTCTCCTCCCATATAATGTTCATATGACTGACAATTTTTTCCAGCAATCTTAAAAAGTGCAACTGTGTGACTATGACAGTACCAAAACAGCCACTTTCAACATTTTTCTAGTTGGCCAAATTCTAGAAAAATGAATCCAAATGTTTAACTTTAGTGTAACAAAAGACTCACTTATTAACCATGTAAAATGTGTCAATAGACTCCTTGATTATACCCACACACTAAAGGTATTACTAGTATTTACAGGGCAGGAATCCAGCTCCCTGGTTTTGTAAGTTGTTTGGTGAGAGAACAATTTTAGTCTTTTTTAAAGAGAAGAAACTCTTCATTGAAATATCATAAAAGCTGGAGAGGGAAGTAAGTGTCAGATAGATGACTCAATCAAATTTCCACTCTTTATTTTCTTTACAAAATGAACCACATCTCAAATTAAGGGAGTGCAGTTAAGACAGTCTTACAAGTGAACAGCTGTTTACAAGACACAGACAGTGCACAATACCTTGTTTAAACAAAGTAGTATTTTAAAGCACATCAAAGACAAAAGTGACGGAATTGATTGTTGGAGATTATTATTATTATTATTATT